GCACGCGCCACCCAAGAATGGTTACAAAATGAGGTTCCTCGCTTAATGTCCACCAAAATCTTCGGATACCAATCCGTTGAACTATTGTCTTTGGAGTGTTTTGGAAAGCAAGATTGGCACTAAAAAATGCCAAAGAGTCGATCACCTTAAGCAAGCGCTTGGCCGAGAATGGGACAAAATACCGCAGAGCAACATTCATTGGCCGTTTGAAGGCCATAATTCGTGCCAAAGGTGACCAATTCGAACAAATCTAAACTCATTCCAAAATTTGATGCTTTTTCCGACATTTTTTGCTTTCATTCAATAAAATTAAAAAAATGTAAAAATTATTGCTTTTTTTTTCATCTCATCCTGTAGTATGGTGGAGGATATAAAATTCAATATAACTAGATTGAAAATTATTTACGAAGAGGCCACAGGATATGAATGCAAAATTTCTGTGCAAGATCAAGCATGATGCTCCATAGATTCAATATGTTGTTGATTTATGTGAAAATCCAAGCAAAAAAGGCTGTAACTTTTGAGATCTACAGATGTTAACATGAATATTTCGCAGAAGATAAAGAAATACTCTTAGGAGGAATACTAACTAGTCTCCAAGTTACTTTGAAACTTGAAATAATAAAGAAACAAAGTCTTCATTTTTTTTAATAAAATTTATTTAAAAAATAGTTTAATAACATGTTGACACAATTGTATTTGTTACCTATACCGAAAATATATTCGAAGATTTTATTGCTCTTGGTGGTATATTTTTAGCCATAAATATTTATTTTATTTTTTTTTTTAATATTTTTTTTTAATTTTAAATGTCCCGATTGTATAAACTTGTCCTACAGTAGATAATATTTAGAACGAACAACTTAAACAATCTGGTTTAATTAATTTATTTGTTAAAAGATTAGATAATTCATAGACATTGCTTGATAAAAAACAAGTAACAAAACATTAAGTTCGGCCGGGCCAAACTTTTAATACCCTCCACCTTAGGGTAAAAGAAACATTAGAAGAAATGTGGCAAAAACCATTAAAATGCCGATTATGGGGAGGTACCGTTATATGGGGGCTATACCAAAACGTGTACCTATAATTACAATGTTTCGCCACCGGAGCTGGAACCCATTATGACCCACAAATACCAATTTTTAGACAAATCAGTGAAAAAATGTGGCAAAAACCATAAAAAAACCGAATATCGGGAGGTACCGTTATATGGGGGCTATATCAAATCATGGACCCATGCATGCAATGTTTCGCCACCGAAGTTGGAACCAATTATGACCAACAAATACCAATTTTCGAACAAATCCCTGAAAAAATGTGGCAAAAATCATCAAATTACCGAATATCGGGAGGTACCGTTATATGGGGGCTATACCAAAACGTGGACCTATATTTACAATGTTTCGCCACCGGAGCTGGAACCCATTATGACCAACAAATACCGATTTTCAGACAAATCCGTGAAAAAATGTGGTAAAAAACTAAAATACTAAATATCGGGAGGTACCTTTATATGGGGGCTATACCACAACGTGGACCTATACATGCAATGTTTTGCCACACGCTCAGGGACCCGCTATGACCTACAAATACCAATTTTAAGACAAATCCGTGAAAAAATGTGGCATAAATCATCAAAATACCGAATATCGGGAGGTACCGTTATATGGGGACTATACCAAATTATGGACCCATACATGCAATGTTCCGCCACCGGAGCTGGAAACCATTATGACCCACAAATACCAATTTTTAGACAAATCGGTGAAAAAATGTGGTAAAAAAAAACTAAAATACTAAATATCGGGAGGTACCTTTATATGGGGGCTATACCACAACGTGGACCTATACATGCAATGTTTTGCCACACGCTCAGGGAGCCGCTATGACCTACAAATACCAATTTTAAGACAAATCCGTGAAAAAAATGTGGCATAAATCATCAAAATACCGAATATCGGGAGGTACCGTTATATGGGGACTATACCAGAACGTGGACCGATATATCTCATTTTCAATACCAACCATCCTAGACACAATGCAAATAGCTCTGCTAAATTTTGGAGCTCTACGTCAAATAATGTGGGCTGTATCGTGATTTCAACAGACAGACAGACAGACGGACAGACAGACAGACAGACAGACGGACAGACAGACAGACGGACATCGTTAAATCGACTTAGAATTTTATGCTGATTATGAATATATATACTTTATGGGGTCTAAAACGAATATTTAGGGATGTTACAAACGGAATGACAAAGTTAATATACCCTCCTTTCCAAGGTGGAGGGTATAAAAATAATATACATTTAAAATAAATTAAAACAATTCGAAATACAGCATAAATGAATATTGAACAATTAAAAAATGTATTAAGTTCGCAGGGCCGAGTTTTGAATAACCTCCACCATTTGGTAAAGTAAACATTTTTATAAAAAAGTATTTGGATTCAAACGTGTTCCGTTTTAAACTACAAATATCAATTAGACCGTTCGGATAATGCTCTTACACTTTTCAAAAAAAAAAAATGTGGGTAAGGCCGTTGTATGGTGCTTATACAAAAACGGGAACCTCATAGACAATTTTTATACTAAAAGGATTGTTATCTATTGCGAGTCTTAAATACCAAATTTGAAAGAAATTTGTGGATAAGTGTGACTAGGATTATCAAAATACCGAATATCGGTGGACAATACCGTTGTATGTGAGCTATACAGGATGTTCCGCCACCAGAGTTAGAACCTATTACGAACAAGTGCCAATTTTTGCACAAATTCGTGGACCAATATATCGCATTTTCAATACCAACCATTCTAGACACAATACAAATTGTTGTGCCAAATTTTGAAGCTCTACGACAAATAATGTGGGTTGTATCCTGATTTCAACAGACAGACGGACATCATTAAGTCAACTAAGAAATTTATGCTGTTACAAACAAAGTGACAAAGTTAATATACCCTACCCTCCTTTGATAGTGGAGGGTGTAAAAATATGAAAACATTTAAAGGGAGATATATATAAATTCTGATTGTATGTGGCGTTACCATCCACCATACTATGGAGGGTATATTAACTTCGTCATTCCGTTTGTAACTCCTCAAAATACTCATGTCAGACCCAACAAAGTATTTATATATATTCTTGATCTATGTCTGTCTTTTTGTTGTAATCACGCTATCTTTCGAACGAATTGAGATAGAAGGCTAAAATTTTGCACACATTTTTATTTTGCCAGTAGGCAGGTTAAGTTCGTAAATGGACCATCTGGGTTCACTTTTGTGGCGGAGGTACAAGGAGTAGATAAATATATATCCTATTTTCACACCAGACCTTGTGTTGATAAAGGTATTTTGATGTGTGTACTTTGGACACAATCGCACACTTACATCATATTTTATAAGAGTTCTAATTATTCAAAAATTTGACCGTTTGTGGGGGAGGAACGAGAAGGAGTGGACCGATATTGTCCATTTTCACACCTGACGTAGCAATGGTGCAAATATCCTTTCTCTTTCTGTGCCGTAAAATATTTTGTTTGATAATTTCGTATGGGAGGTACCAAAAAGAGTGGACCGATATTGCACAAGTTTGGACCAAATCGGATACTCCCTTCGAGAGTTATCGTGCACACCAGCCAGTCAGACGACGGACATCGCTAGATCGACTCCAAATGTCCTGAAACGGTCCACAGATCCCATGTAGGTCCACGTTTTCATATAGCCCCCATATAACGGTCCCTCCCTATATATATAACGGTCCCTCCCTCCGATCTTTGGATGATTTTAGCAACATTATTCAATGAAATTATTTCAAATTTGGTATTTGAAGTTCGAAATAGATACTACAGCCTAGGACAGAAAATTGTCTGTGCAGGTCCACGTCTTCGTATATCCCCCATATAACGGTACCTCCCTATATTCGATCTTTTGATGATTTTACCGACATTATTCACCCGAAATGTTTGAGATGTCGTTTTTAAAGTTCGTAATGGATACTACAGCTTATGACAGGAAATTGTCTGTGCTGGTCCACGTCTTCGTATTGCTCCGATATAACGGTGCCTTCCTATATACGGTATTTTTACGTTTTGTTTCAAATTTCGAATTTGAATATGGTAATGGCTTATGATAAACAATGCCTATGTAGATCCACGTCGTATAGACCCCAATATAACGGTTATATTCGGTATTTTTAAGATTGTAACAGAATTTTTAACTGATTTTATTTTTTGAAAATTTCCAAATTCGTTTTAAATGGTGAAGGGGATTCAAAGTCCGGCCGAACTTACTACTTGTTAGCTTATTCTATTTAAATGTATGTCCAGATTTCTCTGGACAAGGGGAAGTACTAAACAATTCATTAGTGGAATAATTGATTAAAAATTATAATAGTTTGAAAAAAGTTTTTCTTGGTTTGTTAAGAAGGTTCAAACATTAGGGTATCGGAAAATTTTTATTAACAAATACCACTTTCATATCATTTTTTGCGAAGTGCATATATAAAGCTAATTCGCTGCCTCTCATCTCCTGATGAGGATCAATAAAAAAACTTCCACATTTTAGATAACGTAACGTAATGGTTGTCGTCGTCGTCGCAAAATGAAGTCGAAGCGTCCTTTGTTGCCATTAGCATTGTCGATACAACAGTAGACATAATGTCGTTTTTAGAGAATATCTGTCGCCGTAAAAAATTGTGACGACATTGAATTTTTTAGTCGACGTTAATATTTTAACCACTTTGTGTTTGACATTTGACCATGAAAATAACAACAGCAAAACAATTTGGAAATATTGAAGTCATTTCCGACACTGGTCTACTAGATCCTAAAATCCTGGGGCCCTTTGTATATGCTTAAGGCTATATATAATAAAGTTTAGCCTGGTAACCCAAAAACCTTTTTGGGATTTTTATCTACTAACCGAACACCGAATACAGTCAGAATTTTCCAAACCCAGATTGGGTGCTGCGAAATGTAATTACTCGCTATAGCGTATAGTCCACCGCAAAACGGTACCTGTGATTTAAGTATATTGAAGGTTTTGAAAAAATATTTGGATAATATAAATCATTGTCCTACTAAATTTCAATTCGCTCCACCATTTTCTATAATCCGCATAGGCACTGCACTCCTTGTATTCGGTATTGCACAGATTGTAGTCGCTATGAATTTTCCTGTTTTAGTTTTCATTGGACTTGGATTATTGCCACATGAAAGAAGTACCCACCATACCAAAAATATATTCGAGGACAACACAGCTTGAGGATAATATTATAACAACTTAAAAATTACCAGTCGATTTTTGCCAACAGATGTATACCCTCAGCCAAATTTTCGATTATTGAATATATTTAGTCTTCTGTTATGATTGTTTAAATTATTGACCCTCTATGGAGTAGGTTCCGAAGGAATGGGCCAATATTGTCTATTTCGTATCGGACCTAAATAAATATGATATAAATATTACAACGTGCCAGGTTTGGACTATATTAACTACTTCCTATACTTTATATGAGATATGTGCAAATTTATGGAAAACGTTAACAGATATAACGGAGAGAAGTATTCCATTCTAATACCTCATCTAATACAGAAAAAAAATTTTGGTATGAGAAAATTACAAGAAAATCAAACATTTATATTCAATTTTATGCGAAATCATAAATTCCATCTTCAACTCAGGCTTCTGGTTGAGAAAAATATTCAGATATACCAAGTTGTAAAGAATCGCTGACTTCTTTCACAAGTTATGACAAATGTAAGTATTGGAAATTGTGACCATTTGTGGGTAAAGTACCAAAAGGGCTTGGCAGATATATATCATCTTTACAACAGATTTATGTAAGCAAAAATATTTGGATGTGTGGGAAATCTGTGAGAGTTGGATTCTTATTTCTCTTTTTTGAGCCTTTTGTTTTTTAAAAATCGTGAACCCTTGGTGAGAGAGATACGCGAAGAAATTATCCGATCTGTACCATCTAAATAACAGATCTTGTTTTGATTGAAATATTTTGATTGAAATATAATATACCGTCTGAATGAAATCGGATGTTAATTTCGCGTTTTATGAGCTTCATGGATACTCAAAATATTGACGATTGTGGGGGAGGTACCAGAAGGGGTGGACTGATATATCCTATTTTCACACCAGACCTTGGGTTAATAAAAAATATTATGATATGTGTAATTTGAAGAGAACCGAATGCTTATTTCGGATTTTATGATCGTTTGGTTATTCTAAACTTTCAACCTTTGTGGGGGAGGTAACCGAAGAAATAGTACCACCTTAATGACAGATGTACCAAGTCTGAGTGGAATCGGATGTTAATTTCTTGTTTTATAAGCTTCATGAGATGTACCAAGTCTGAGTGGAATCGGATGTTAATTTCTTGTTTTATAAGCTTCATGTATATTCAAATTGTTTTCCATTTGTGGGGGAGGTACCAGAAGGAGTGAAGCGATTTATGTCATCTTCACACCAGACCTCGGGTTGATAAAAGTATTGCGATGTGTTTAATTTGAAGACAATCGGACACTTACATCGCATTTTATAAGAGTTATAATTATTCAAAATTTTGTCCTTTTGTGGGGGGAGGTACAAGAAGGAGTGGACCGATATTATCCATTTTAGAACCTGTGGTCTAGAACTGACGCAAATATTAGGATTTGCAAAGTTGGAGCAAAATCGGTTTATAGTTTTTTTTTTTTGAAAATTTCGAACTTTTGCTGGGGAGGTACCAGAAAGAATAGACCGATGTATTCCATCTTGGATTGGATTGATAAAAATATTGGGATGTGTGAAATTTGAAGATAATCGGACTCTTACATCACATTCTACAGGAGTTGTAATTATTCACAATTTTTACCCTTTGGGGGAAAGGTAGTTGATAGAGTGGACCGATAATGTCAATTTTTGAACCTGACCTAGAACTAACGCAAATATTATGATTGAAAAGTTAGAGCAAAATCGGATTATCGTTTCTCTTTCCGGCAGAAAATATATTTTTTTTTGCAAATTTTCGACCTTTTGTGGGGGAGGTACCAGAGGGAGTGGACCGATATTGCCCATCTCCGAACTCGATCTATGTTTGACAAAAATATTACGATGTACCAAGTTTGGACCAAATCAGATACTCCCTTCGAGAGTTATCGTGCGCACCAGCCAGACAGACGGACGGACGGCCGTTATTTCGATTAGGCACGTTTTGACCGTATCAAATGATATATACCCTCTGTAGCCATATGGTTGAGGGAATAATTTAATACTACTTTCGAAAGCTTGTTCTACAATTACAAGTATAAGTTAAAAATAAGGGTTCAATCTCGATTATCCTTATTATTGTTACACAAAATATGTTCAATGTTTTCTAAAGATTTTAAAAAGCTTAAGGCTTTTATTATTGTAATATTATTCTGAAGCCATAATGGTATGTTGGGTTACTTGATGTTACATTGGTGCAATAAAAATCCTTTTTTGTTGAGTGTATGCTTGTTTTGTTTCTGTACGTTTTGAAAAAATAAATAAAATCAATGACTAAAAGGAAAATACATGGCGGGCCGGGCGCACTAGATATATTAACCACTTATACCTTGGAATTGAAATATTCAACAGTTTGAATCATGTTTTTGCAAGAAAATGCAGAATTTCCATTCATTTTCGAAATATTTTAAAAATGAGCAAAAATATCAAAGAAATGAGAATAGACTGCTGTTGCATCTTATTCTAAATAATTCTGGCCGAAAGTAGACATAGTATCAGGGCAATATTTCAGTAGGTTTATCAAGCCGTTCAAACTCTTATTGTACCATGGATGTTACCTTTTGTTCGCATACCATGGCATTAAATTAAAAAATTATTATAAGTAAACAATATTTCATAATATGAAAAAGAAACAATTAAGTTATCTAAAAGAAACATTGTAATACTAGTGCAGAGCAGATGCAGTTCCACGTCTTCTTTCATAGACTTGACGTGGCGTATAAAAACGTAAATTATTATTGGTAATTCGGCCAGAAGTCCCTTGCTGTGACAAAGGTGGAAAATTGGCATTACATGGTTGTGTTAAAACTCTGTTGGCTTTGCAATTCGCTTCTTCTTCTGCGGCTAATGGTTTCCTGACCATATTTGCATAGGTGGGAGGCATTTGATTTGGTTGAGGTTCAGCAAATGTACAATTCTTCTTTGTTTTGTTAGGTGAATCATTTGCTGGTAGTTTAAGAAAACGTGGGAGAAATGAGGGGGCTTGCGATGTCAGGGAATCATCCTCAGAAGTGGCATTAGTGTACAATGACTTGTTACTTGTGTAGTCTAAATTCCTATTCACACTGTGGTTGATACTGCTACCACTACTGCTAGAATTACCATTATATCTTGAATATGGTACAAATTCGAAAGCATTTGGATTCAATTTTGAGGTACTACAAGTTGAGGTAGCCGTTTCATAGCCATCACTTTGTTCACAAGGGGAATAGTTTGGAGAATAACAACTGCTGCTTTGAGTACATGAACTGATATTGTGTTGATCAGGTTTTCTTGTATCTTCTTCTTCGTTATGTAACTTGCGATAATCAAACATGACATTTTCTTTTTTCTTCTCATATTTTCCAAATGCAATATCAATGGAATCATCATCTCGACTTGGTGTATGGAAGGAATATGAATTCGTATCACAGCTACTTGTCGATGATATATTTAAGTCGCCATTACTTGAGGTAGAGTTATTGTTATTGCGGTTACTATTTCCACATGCACTATCGAAACTATTCGAAGAGTTCGATGAGCTCGATTCTTTGGGTTTCAATTTAAACAGATTATCATCGAAGAGGAGTGGTATCTTTTTACATCTATTTTGTACAATTTCCACACCATTCCTAATGGGATAGGTGGCTATGGTGAGTTTTTCGTTTAGCGGCTCCTCAACACTTGGACCCAAACCGAAATGCCGCATCATAGCCACAATTTCTTTTTCAGTATTTTTATTATTATTCCAATCATCCAAGGTGGGTTGTTGGCCCAGCGGTTTTGTACCAGCTATACGCTGTACTTGTGCTATGGCATGCAAACGATTATTAATTCTTCCCGTCTCTTCGTATTCCTGCTGTTGTTGGCGTGTTTGTTTCTTTTTTGTAGCCGCATATTCGATATGTGATTGTGGTCGAGGATAAAACGGTTGCGGTTCCGGCTCGGACAGGGCACCAAATATAAAATCATGATCGGGTTGTAAGTTGACAATTTCTTCTTCGAAATCTGTTGAAGGTTTCCAAGGCATGGTGGTTATCACAGTTTAATACGAATGAATCTCGTTGTAAGAATGACGTAGATTTTCGCTTGGGTAGTAGTGGGTGTCTGTAAATTAAATTTATATATAAAACGCTTGAGGGGGATGATATTGAATTGGTGAAAATTTTTGAAATCGATTTTTGTTTTATTTGCAAAATATAACTCTAACACTACCCCTTAATCTCTTAATGAAATCCTCCCTATGACAAATTGTTTTTCTACTGTCAAAGGGAAATCGCGTAGTGGAGAAACTTAACGCTCGTATGGTCCAGAGTAGAACAATATGGTCCAGAGTAGATCTTTGTTTCAGACCAAGCGAAGTCTCGCCTTGTTTTGACATTCCCCTCTATCTCAAATTCCGAAAGGATGGATCCTTGACCAAAGCGGCATAGAAGCTTCAGAAGCCACCCAAGCCTAGTTCGGTGTAGCCAAAGATTTTCTGGCGTAAGTTGGGTAGGTTTATCGGAACAGTTTAAGGGATGTATTCCTGTGGGAAAGGGGCGGGGTTTGCCTTTGTCACATGATGGGCGACAGATAGGAATGCACCATCCTGGACTTTTGTCTGGGTAGCCGACGTTCTGTAGCTGCAATGGATGGGGTGCGAACTAGAGGACCCCATTCATACCATAATGATTGGTAACATAGGTGACAGCATCAGTATGAACGCCATGCAGACCTGACTGATAGGCTTCCTGAAGAAAAGACTCTCACTTATATGGTTGGAGGTCCCTCTCTAAATCGTGTAGGTCCTTTCCTACAAGTTTTTTTGGAGGAAATACTATCATGCATATAATGTTTATTCCTAGGTCTAGACCACTACGTAAGCCTGATTGCATAAAAAACTTTTGCATCGAGGGATTTACGTACTCCGAGGGGTACCCTGAGGTAAAATGTTGAAAATGATCGGAAAGGGGGACCCTGAATCCTACTTGTTCCACATTGTACATCAATACAGAACGTTTAGAGCCCATATACGGTTTACCTTCTATAGATTTTGCTTTCATTCCTCTACTATGCTGTGGCGACCACACAGATGCCGCATAGCTGACCACAGACAGGCATATCGAGTTATAATAGGTCAACAAGGTTTCCTTATCAACTCTATAGACACTGCTGAGAAAATACATGAGAAATTTTTTCCACTTCTGCACTTATCGCAGAGAACTCGGACATGCGCATACGACTTAAAAGGGTTTTGTGAATATGACCTTCATTACCGTGAGGTAATCAGTATTGGCTTAGTGATGGATGGACAATTACTGCCCACATGGACATAACCTACTATATTGCCTGACGCCTGACGGGTGGGTGAATACCCACATATGTTTTAAATTCAACACGGTAACAAAGGACAAGAAATTCTAGAAAGTTTGAGGTTAAACAGTTTCGGAGATATCACACACACACACACCTTGGGAAATGCCCTGTTTCACTCTATGGATCTTCGACTTCTTGTTTCTAAATTCCACGTACAACTGGCGTCCGTACATACAATTGATGGCTGAACTCTTAAAAATCTTAGATTTTCCTGTCGTGTATATGACGGAAGTCTACTTAGATCTCTGCAACTTAAAAAAAAAAAAACAATATTTTAACAACTGAGATAATTATAGATCTTTGAGCAATTACCTTTTAATTTAAAATTAAAATATTTTGTTTTAAATATTCTATGTTTCACATAACCTTAAATGGAAGCTGCTTCCTATAGATCATGTTAAGTCTTGTTCAAATGTCTAAGCGCGACACTCTTCAATTTGTATTACATTCCTTTTATTACAAATGTAATCGATTTCAAAAACTTTCGAGAAAAGTTAACGGTACTACTTACGGTATGTGTTTCTTTTTTAATTTAACAGCAAGAACAAGTCCGACTTTGCTGCAGTTTTGTTCAACTGATCGTTTAGCCACAAAAAAAAAGATTCGATCGGTCTACCTGTTGTAGGGACAAAGGCACACAATTCAATTCAGTGTGTCTTATGACAATTAACCAATTTTTATGCTTACTTCAACATTTTTGTAAAATATTGCAAAATATTTTGAAATACACCACTCGCTGGCTGGCACACAATCGAAATCCACAAAATGGTTTTATTTTTTGTAAATAGTTGATTTGTTTTATTTAAATTATGTTTTTTATTGATCTATTTGTTTATCTATTTTTTTAACTGCTAAAACAAAACCAAACACAATTGTAAAAGAAAATAAAATAGTTCTTTTTTATTTGCCGCTCATGTATTTGTGTGTGCGTGCATAACAATGAGAATGAGAGAGAGCTCTGTTGCTGTTGTTCAGTGAACTCACACAGGGTTGTAGATAAAAGTAGTATCACAAATCGTTGTCGTTCAATCAAAAAAGTCAACGGCGTTAGATAATAGTGATTGAGCATGGGCCGTTGCTTTTATTGGTGGTTTGTAAGTAAAACTTAAATATTAACAAAATAAACTGAAAGCAATAAGTATTTTAGATAAAATTCAATTACTAAGCAGCAATATGCTCCACTGGGTAGAGTAAATGTACGTCAACATACAAAAATCTCTGCCCGAATTAACCCCGCTTATTGACCAATCACAATAGATTTAAAATACATTTTGCATCGTCAGATTTATTGTGATCGGTCAATAATTAGGCTTAATCCGGATAGGGACTTATTACCAAACAAATTTTAAAATTGTCCAAAAAGATTTGATTTTAAAATAAGGCAAAACAATTGTATATTTATATATATTTGTTATCACAGTAGAATTTAAAATTACTCCTTTGCCGACATCTCATTGTCAAATTTTATATTCATAAATCCATTTTATATACCCAAATCATTGTCAAAATTTATATTCATAAACCCATTTCATACACACAAAATGTAATTTCTTTTTTTAGACCGGCTAGTTAAACAGCGCGCCGTTGTAATTTTCCCACCAACTTCGTTTTCCAATTGTCTTTTGCTTTGTTCACCTTTTACTTTTTTTTGCATGCCATTACAAACTTACACTGCCTTTACACGGTGACATTTTTTAACCATGCCATTTTTGTTTGTTGGTAAAAGGTGTAGAGAGACAAGGATAGAAGAAAAAATGGCACGATGAGCCACCGCACAGGGTTACATGCCATTTTCTTTGCATTTCTCTTTTTGCTTCTTCCGAATTTTTTATAATTTTGACATTTCATATCGCTTCTTTATTGTAATTTTTAATGCGTTTCTTTTATTGTGATGTTTTTAGTGATTGAATTATATGAAAATTAATTGGAAGTATTAAAAAGTAAAAAAAGAAAGTTAAAATAAAAGTTAATAATGCAATATTTAACACCTCAATAACTTTTTCCATCATTTCTTCTTTAGATTCACACACTTAATTTTAAATCACTTCTTTATAAATATCTGTTACAAACAATTAGCTCTATACGAAATACTGAATAAAATAAAATGTCAGAAAAAATGCCAAGCACTATTATCGTAAAATGCCACCGTGTAAAGGCGCGAAGATTTACGCAGAAATTTTAAAAGAGAATTGATAAAAATGCCAGCTAAAAATTGCACCGTGTAAAGGCGGTGTTATGGATGGATACCGGCAAATATGTTGCCGAAAGAAAAACACACAATAAAGGTACACAACAAAGAAAACCAGCTGAAAACATTGTTGCACATAAGAATAAAAAAAATAAAAAGCACAATATTGGGGTATTGAACTGTTGCCTGTTCACTCATACCCATACAGAGGTACATACTGACAACTTTCGTTCTCTTTCGCACAACCAGAGAAAATTGCGCCAAAAAGTTAAACAAAAAAATTTACAAGCCCAAAGAATGGAGAACAAAAAAAGATAAAACACCGCACAAAAGAAACCAAGTCATCAAAACGATACACATAAATTTAAGCAAACTTCAGCATTTTATTAACACAAATTATCAATTGGAAATTCCTCCCCCCGAAATCTCGTTGACGACCAATTATGTGGTGCTACTGTGCGATTTGCAATTTATAAATATGTAAATGTTTACTTTGTTCTTGTGACACTCACCACAATAATTTCGCAAACTTTTCTCTGCAGTCTGTATGTCAATTTTTTTGGTTCTTAGAAAAACACACTTAATTTGGCGCTTGGTATTTGTTTTTCACAGCGTTAGTATTTACTAAATTGTTTTAATACCATTGATTTGTTTATTCAGAATTAATTTGAAAATATGGAATACAAAAAGGGGTACACTTTTGGGAGAATGACAGCACAGCAAAAAACCCAAAAACCATTTACTTCAACTTTTGCCAGTTGCTTTACGGGAGTGCAGTGCCCTCTATTGATTATTGAACGTCGTTGAACTGTCAAATTTTCATAACGGCGATCGACGTGTGTTTGGTACGCCGCCGTTATAAACGCTCTGTTCAAGCTAATTTGTAGCCCGGATTTTTTCAACATAAGTAAATGTAGACGAATGACATTCCTGGTCAAAGAAAATTACTAGACAAATTTGGCCGAGTAAAAAACAGTGGCATTATTAAGAGCTTTTGATTTGTTAATTTTGTAGAAATAGAGAAAAACTAAAAGTTTTACCCAAAATTAGTGTTTTTTTGGTATTCAAAGAAAAATGTCATTGTTGAGGCAAATGATTTCATAATAAGAAGTAAAAATGCCATTAATTATGAAGAACAACATCAGCTACTTGTCTACGTGTTCTATGTCCTCGATAGCCTCACGAATTCGATATTTGAAAAATATATAATCAGATCCCTGCTTTCACTCGTCAGTCAAAAGACATACATTGTATCAAAGTATGACAGTTCGGTGGTAAATTGTTAGATCCAACGATTTTTGGCCACCGCGATACGCTTGCTAGAACTATATCCTATTCCTGAAATTTTGCATTACCAAATCGCCAAGTGCCAGGCTGTTCTGTGTCCTAGACAGATTCACGGATTCTATTTTGGGGTTATAGAATCAAGGGTGGGGGTTCTCTGGCCCCTAGGGATAGCAGTTGTACTGTGTCAAGTCATGATCTCCTCCGCCTTTGAAGAGTAGGTTGCAGATAGTGGAAACCCCAAAAGATATACTGGGTAGCTTATGTCACTGTGGTCTACCTGTTATATGGGTGCTTCGTTTACTGGCATGAGTTCCTCAAAGTTATCAAGTCAAGTGCCATTAAACCGAGAGTGTTAAACCCAAAATACGCTATTATGTCAGCTGCTTCAAGAAATCTATTATGGAAAAAACTGTAAGAAGACGACACCGGTTGCAGGGTATCTAATGTTATCTGGTCGTTAATCTTGAGAAGAGCTCCCTTCTATCATTTTGTAGGACTGATCTGCGAATCGGGGTAGGGATACTGGATGCAGTATCAAATATCTCCTCCTTCCTGACAGGAAGGAGATAGAAACTCTTACGTTCTTCTCAGACATAGATCCCATAATAATTTATAAGTTTGCCACAGGTATTCCCTCACTACCCTACTAACATTTTATTCCGAATTCGGACAGAATCTCCGCTGAAATTTCTTCCGATTTCCATGCAAACGTTGTGTGGATGTGGTCACTGAAATCGGAAAGTTTTTCTAAATCGGTCTATTTTTTAAAAGAAATTTAGAAAAATAGGCAAATTTCTAAAAAATATTTAAAAATATCCGAAAAAAATATAAAATCAGTTCCCTCGCAAAAATCGTTATCTGGGTAGGCAGACCATCCTGTTAACTATACTTCTCTCTAAAAATGTTTTCTTCTTCTCGCTTCTATCCTCAAAAAGTTTTATTTCTTCCTAGGATGAACACAATGGACCAAAAGTATCCAAGTGCAGCAGTTGCCGATTCCCGTGCAGCTGCGCAACCTTAAACACTCGAACGGTAGAAGAATACAGGTAGTCGTATCAACGCTTGGGAACCTTGATACGTAAAAACTTTAATTTTTTTTTCAAAAACAAGTAGATATTTATATTTTTCTTTTGCGATGCAAATCGGAGGTTGTTCTGATACGCATTTTTTCATTTTTTTTTACAAATTCCAACATTTTCACCCGTATTCTTGGTAGAAGATTATAAATGTCTATTCAAATGGTTTGTATCTCCGCTTCAACAGCTGTTAAATTAAACACAATGTTTAAAGCACCCTTGTGTCCTTTTTGTCTCTGTTTCGATTTCAGCAATAGTCCTAATTTTATCGATAACACTGTTATCGTTAAAACCTGGCCACCACGAAAAAAAAAAACTAAACAAATTCACAACAGAGAGAAAATTGTAAATTTTATTAAGTTTTTCGCTTACAAAGTCAATAAAAGACAATACCAAGAAGATGGGGCGACGCTCCATTAATACCACAAAAAGTGGTAAATACATGAATCCCACGGATCAAGCAAGTAAGTCCCAAACACATTAAAGACAACCCGGCACGATGTGCCCAATGTTTGGAGGTGTTCCCAAAATTCATTTGGAATGTTATTGAAATAATTTTCAGGAAAGGAGGCCCGCAAGAAGGAGCTGAAAAAGAACAAGAAACAAAGGCAAATGGTAAGGGCGGCCGTGCTCAAGAATAAAGACCCTAGTCAAATTTTGGAGGAAATGGAGAAAATCGATGAAATGGGTATGTAAGTTAAGGAAACTTTTTATATTTATTCTGTTAATGGCCATTTTCTTACTTGCCCCCCAGAATACAATGTGCTCCAGCCATCACCCCTGAACGAGAAGGTCTTGCGGGACAAACGGAAAAAGTTGAAGGAAACATTTGAACGTGTCATGCGGCTTTATGTGAGTATTTTGTCAATCATCTTAAGTTCTGTTTTAATGTAGCTCTTGTCCTTTTCCAGTACAACGATGATCCGGAACACTGGTCAGAGTTGAAACGCAAAGAGGTTGAATATGAAAAGAAACGTTTAAAAAAGCAACAATACTACGAAAGTGTCAAACATGCTCAAAGTGTACAAATCGATGAAATTCCTCTGCCCTCTAGCACCCAAACACCGGCAAGTGGTGGGGCTGCTACCGCCGCTTTCCCATCAGGTCCCAAACGGTTACCACCTCCACCCACGGCCTTGTCTTTGCCGCCATTTGCACCGGGTGCCCCTCCCGGTACCCTAAAGAAACTCAATGAACCAAGTGCAAAGCCAGCCGAAAAGCCGGAAGAGATAAAACGCAAAGAAGTTTTAGGTGTTCCCATTGGTCCCCCACCCACGCTGGCTGATATGTCCGATTTGGATACAGATGCTGAAGACGATGAGGTGGTTCTGAAAAAATATGTCTCCAAATCTAAGTCATCCAAGACGGTGCCCAAACCCAATTCCCTGCAACAACGTATGCTGGCTATATCAGGTCAAAATATTGACGATTTCATGAAGGAAATGGAAAATGTTCACAAGAAAAAAGTGGCTGCCAGTAGGGGTGAGAAAGAAACCGCCAAAGAGGTTGGCAAAAAAGATGATCATAACGACAACGATGATGATGATGATGCTGACGACGATGATGATGAGGAGAACAAAAGTGATTTATCTGAGTGTAGTTTTAGTGACGAAGAAGCCAATGATGATGACAACGATGGCGAAGATGCAGCCAAACGGAGGCGGACACATTCATCTGGCGATATTGATACGGCTGCAATACCCACACCTGCTCAAATTCCTCCTGTGGCCATAGCTTTACCGAATATACCAGCCCCTCCACAACCACACATATCACTGCATGGTCATCCAGTACCTCCACCGCTGGCCGGCATGGCTCCACCACCGCCTATGATGTTTAGACCGCCACCCAGGCCACCAGGTATGCATGGTTTTGGTATTCGCATGCCGCCAGGACCACCACCAGGACCCCGGCCACCAGGTATGGGTGGTATGCCACGCATGGGAATACGTATACCAGGTCCACCACCCGGAATGCCGCCGCGTATGGCCCATCACAAAATGCAACAGCAACAACAACAGCAGCAGAAACAGGACAGTAAGGGTGTGACGACCATTACGGCCAAACCGCAAATTAGGTGAGTAAAATGGAAGGGATATAATCAAATGGGCGAGGATCTTGAAGACCATGTCCTTGAGAGGATTTCCCCATGCATTAATGGCCTGTTATTTTATGACGATTCGAAATTGAACTCGAAAAGAAAAAAGCAGACATCCCTTGCTTTTTTTAATTTATGATTTGTATTTAGTTTATACAACCCACATGGAATTGGGTCTTCCTTCTGAGTTCGCTTTCGTATCATCTTACGGAATCAGGCCCTGAATCTTGATTTTATTGTTTAATATAGGTCTGGTTTTTGTGTGTCGAAAGCGAACGAAAAACACATTTCGAAGGGTGTTTTTCGCATTCGCATTTGCTTTCGCATAGTCACACAGAATCGAGCCCATATTTTTTGGTTCCTTAAAATGATGTGAAAACCTATTAAGATTTTGATTTTTTTCTTTCCAGAAATTTAAGTGCCGATGTGACACGTTTTGTTCCCTCCACGTTGCGTGTTAAACGTGATGACGCCCGTAAACCCAATCGTACAAAACCTTTCACTCAAGAACCTTCAACACGGCCGACCGAAACAAATAATGCCGCCTCAAAGGATGATGCTTATATTCAGTTTATGAATGAAATGCAAGGATTACTGTAATTTTTGAAAATAGAGAGAATATCCATAGAGATAAAACAAAGAAACACACACATAAAAGAGTTATGGCTAATAAAACCAAAACATTTTTAATAAAATCTAAAGAAATGTCAAGGATTTTCTCTATAAGCGAAACTAGAAGAATATTATGGATGTACGCGTGTCGTACATAAGTAAAACGATTATATGTCTTTAAATGGAAGATCTGAAGATTTTCTTGGGTAATTTCTAAGAACAGAAGATTTGTAGAGCTATTTCTATATAAGAAGTAGAGATACCGGATAGAATACCTGTAGTTCTTCTCAAAGTAGATACGTAGATTTTCCTTACAAAGATTTGTAAAACTTCCAATAGATGATCTGTGGATCGTCCTATAGTAAATGTGGACATTTTCATATGGGCAATCTCTATAGATGATCTGTACAACTTCTCAGAAAATAAACTGTAGATCTTATGGCAGAACTATGGAATGGATAATTTGTTGATCTTCAAATGAAAAATAAGTGGATTTTCCAACCTAGCCTTCCAATAGAAGATATATGGATATATGGAGGGAAGATTCATTGATCTTCAAGATCTATTCCAATTAAAGACATATTATCTTTTTCTAGAAAATCTACCGATTTTTAATACATGATCTATACGTCTTTCTATAGAATATCTGTTGATATTCTATTAGATGGTCTGTTGATTTTCCTATAGAAGGTCATTTGATCTTCCTATAGAATATAGATCTGCAGATCTTCCGATAACAGATTTGTAGCTTTTACTATTGGAGATCTTTGGATCTCCTAATGATCAATTTGTTGATCTTCCAATGGAAGATTAACCGATCTGCAAATGGAAGATTTCTTGGTTTTCAAATCAAGGGTTTGTTGATTTTCTAATAAAAGATTTTTTGATCCTCGAATGGAGAATTGGTCAACCTTCCCATAGCAGATTTGTAGCTTCTACTATTGGAGATCCTTGGATCTCTTAATAACGATTTGTTGATCTTCCAATGGAAGATAAACTGATCTGCAAATGGAAGATTTGATGATCTTCTAATGGAAGATTTCTTGATCTTCCAATCAAAGGTTTATTGATTTTCTAATGGATGATTTGTTGATCTTCGAATTGATAATTGGCCAATCTTCCTATTGAAGATCTTTTAGATTTTCAAGGAATGGTCTCATGATCTTTCCAAGGAAGATGTGTAAATTTTATTTCCAATAGAAAATATATAACCCTTGGATCTCCTAATGGACGATTTGTTGATCTTCGAATGGAAGATTAACTGATCTGCAAATGGAAGATTTGATGATCTTTTAATGGATGGAAGATTTCTTCATCTTCCAGTCAAAGGTTTGATGATTTTGTAATGGAAGATTTGTTGATCCTCGAATGGAGAATTGGCCAATCTTTCTATTGAAGATCTGTTAATTTTCTGATGATCTTTCCATGGAAGATGTGTACATTTTATTTCGAATAGAAAATCTATTGCTTTTCTAATAAAGAGATGATGACATTCCGGTGGAAGATTTGAAGACCTTTTCATAAAAGATTCATTCATCTTGTAATAGAAGATCAAAATTTCCTCCTATAGAAAAAGTGTGGATCTTTTTAGAGGTAGAAAATCATTGGAAAGACTATTTAGATACAGGATATTACTGAGGACTGGCTCTTCTGTACTGACATTCCAAGGACTTTAAAAATTAAAGACCCTTTAGAATTCTTCCGTTGATAGAATACCTTTCTGAAGTATTTAATGGATAAACAAATTTTGGAGTTCTATAGAAAGTAGACCAAATATTTGCCGAGGTCTCTCTTTGAGAGAAGACATTCCATTACATTCCTTTTTGATGTCCTTAATGAATAGAAAATCTTCACGTGTGGTCTATTAAGGGAGAATCCTTTTAAGGTCTTGTGGAAGAACTGAAAATGTGGTCTGTAAACTGAATACACTTTCCGAGTTATTTTATGGATGGAGATCCGTTCTATACCCTCAGCCACGGCAAAACGTGCCTCATCGAAATAACTATTTTGGACCACAGGACTCTTTGGTCCAAATCCCTTTTAGGGCATTTGAAGTCGATCTAGCGATGTCCGTCCGTCTGCCTGTCTGGTGCGCACGATAACACTCGAAGAGAGTATCCGATGTGGTCCAAACTTGGTACATCGTAATATTATTATCAATCGAGATCGAGTTCGGAGATGGGCAATATCGGTCCAATCCTCCTGGTACCTCCCTACAAAAGTTCGAAATTTTCAAAGAAAATATGTGACTGCACAAAAAGAGATCCATTCTTGCTCTATCTTTGCAAATCCTAATATTTGCAACAGTTCTAGGTCAGGTGCGAAAATGGACAATTTTGCTACACTCCATCAAGTACCTCCCCCACAAATTGTCAGATTTTTAATAATTATAACTCTTATAAAATTTGATTTAATAGTCCGATTGTCTTCAAATTACACTAATCACAATATTTTAATTAGCACAAGATGTGGTGTGAAGATGGAATATATAGGTCCCCTCCTTCTGGAACCTCCCCCACAAAGAGTCAACATTTTTTAATTTCCATGAAGCTCAAAAAATGCGAAATTAACATTCGATTCTATTCAGACTTGGCGCATCTCAATATTTCCATCAACACAAGATCTGTTATAAAGATGGCAGAGATCGAACCATTTCTTCCGGTACCTCCCCCACACAGGGTTCAAGATTTTGAAAAACAAAACGTTAAAAGAAGCAAAATAAGCATCCAGCTCTCTTCAAATTACCCACACATACATTTTTCCTCACACAAGATCTGTTGTGAAGAGAAAAGATATCTGCCAACCCTTTCCGGTACCTCATCCACAAAGGGTTACTAATCCAATACTTTTATCTATCATAAGTTGCGATACAAGTCAGCGACTTGCTCTATCTAAGTATTTCTCTCAACCAGAAGCTGATGTGAATATGATGAAAATTATGATTTCGAAAAAAATTGGATAAAAATGTTCAATTTTCTTGTAATTTTGCCCATACCAATATTTTTATATGTATTAAATGAAGTATGACAAGTTAAAAAGCAGTAAGTTCGGCCGGGACGAACTTTGAATACCCTCCACCATTTAGAACTAATTTGGAAATTTTCAAAAAATTCAATCCTTAAAAAAATCCGTTAAAATACAATGTTAAAAATACTGAATATAGCCCTTATATTGGTGTCTATAAGACGTGGAGCTACAAGGCATTGTTTGTCATAAGCCATTACCATATTCAAAATCGAAACTTGAAATAAACGGTGAATAAAGTAGCTAAAATCATCGAAATACCGTATATAGTGAGGTACTGTTATATCGCAGCTGTGCGAAGACCTGGACCAGCATAGACAATTTTTTCGATGGGTATTGAAAACGTGGACCTACATGGACCCACTTACGAACTTAACCTGCCTACTGAAAAAAATAAACATGTGTGCAAAATGTTATCCTTCTATCTCAATTCGTTCAAAAGATTACATTACGTGATTACAACAGCCTATGACAGAAAATTGTCTGTGCAGGTTCACGTTTTGGTTTAGCCCCATGTAATGATGACTCCTTATATTCGGTATTTTGATGATTTAAGCTACATTATTCACCGATTTTTTGTTCAAGCTTCGCATTTGAATATTGTAATGGCTTAGGTTGCCTATGCAGGTCTACGTCGTCGTATAGACCCTAATTTAACAGAATTTTTAATTTTTTGAAATTTGCAAAATTCGTTTCAAATGGTGGAAGATATTCAAAGTTCGGCACGGTCGATCTTACATCTTCTTACTTGTTTTTTTTTTTTTTTTTTAATTTAATATTAAGAAATTTATTTTCAATAAATTTACCATAAAAATTACAAACAAAAGGAAATCTTAAAGCAATATTTTATATCACAAACTACTTAAATACTAAACAAATAATATCGCATGCTACAAAAAATATATAATAATGCCTTTAATAACTATGTTATCTATACGACAAGGAACCATGTTCACAATATTCTCTCAAAAATCATCACTTATTTGATTTGGATCGATGTGTTTCAAACCCATCTTCTCCAGTTTTCGTATTTTATACATTTTCGAGAACAAACGCTTTTTGTACTGCATTTGTTCGTTGATATTTATCACTTCGGCCACATCGTATTTGGTGATATTTTGTATGGTATTGACAATCAAATTGTCGGTGAGGTGCAGCTTGACCTTGGACAGGCGCATGAATTCGTCACGTCCCTTACGTAGCTCTTGGCGGTAAATGAAAATCGTATAGGGAATGGAATAGTTCGAAGAGGACATCGATGATGGTGTGGCCGAGGAGGTTGAAGCTGTCAACGATGATGATGAGCCGGAACGTTCACGTTTAAGACTTTTTGTTGCCATGGTGAGCGAGCGAACTGGTGCGTGAGTGAGTCTTGTGCTGTTTTCACCAGAAATGACACTTGGTTAATGATGCTGCCATTGTTCGCTGACCTATATTTTATAGTGGTAAAAAACGGATTATGGCCAGGTAAAAAAAAAAAAAAACTTCCCACACCCATCCCTCAGTTTTTTAGTAGATTAGCGATGTGGATTGGAATTTCCATTGATTCGTTGTAACTTCATTGTTGGGTTCATGTTTGCTCGGGCTAATTACAGCGGAATTTTCTCCTACAATTTTGTTCAAGCAGGTCATTAATTTTATGAGCCATGATTCCTACTAACCTTTCTCTTTTTTTTCAATGGAAATGCATATCCTTGTGCAAAAATAAATCCAATAACTTAAGCCTTTGTAGAAATGTAGGTTTTTATATAACCACACGTCGTGCCGCACAAACTCAAACCGATGCCAGAGGACTGAGGTATCGAATTTATTGTTCAATTTTCATTTATTAGCGAAAATATTTGCTGATCGTTCTCAGAATATGGTTCTGTAAAATTTTTTTCATGGGAATTTCAGAAAATCCTCCCAGAAATATACGGAGGCAGAAATAAGGTATGGTTTTACTACCGCAAAAAAAGTTGCAAATACATGCATGAAATTCCGCTCTATAAAATTTTGGAAAAAAATCATAAAAATATATTGAGGTTTTTATGATTCAATCGAAGAGTGCTGCTGTTTCTGTTGGAGGATTTCATAAACAAATATTCTATGAAATCCGAACATTAAAGCGAAAATAATAAAATTGATCGGGAAAATGTTCTTCCCCCATTGTATTTTTATACCCTCCAATGTAGTATGGAAGTATGAAAGCAAAAATATCGGAAATATCATCAAATTTTAGAATAAGTTTAGATTTGATCGAATTGGTCAGCTTTGGCAAGAATTATGTCCTTCAAACGGCCAATGAAACCGTCACCCGCTGCCCGAATGTTGCTCTGCGGTATTTTGGCCCATTCACGGGTTCACAAACGTGGATTTTTAAAAAAATATTTTTTTTTCAAAGGATTCACAAATTTGGATTTTTTCAAAATATTTTTTTTTTTCAAAGGATCCACAAACGTAGATTTTTTAAAAATATTTTTTCCAAAGGATTCAAAAATTTGGATTTTTTCAAAATATTTTTTTTTCAAAGGATCCACAAACGTGGATTTTTTAAAAACATTTTTTCCACAGGTAATCACGACGTGGATTTTTAAAAACATTTTTTTCCACAGGAAATCACGACGTAGATTTTTTAAAAATATTTTTTTCAAAGGATTCACAAATGTGGATTTTTTCAAAATATTTTTTTCAAAGGATCCACAAACGCGGATTTTTTTAAAACATTTTTTTCCACAAAAAATCAAGACGTAGATTTTTTAAAAATATTTTTTTCAACGGACATCTGACAATGGATTTTTATATTTTTCCCAAAGGATATCTAGGCGTGGATTTTTTTAAAAATATTTTTTCAAAAGGATATCTAGGCGTGGATTTTTTTAAATATCTTTTCCAAAGGATATCTAGGCGTGGATTTTTTTAAAAATATTTTTCCCAAGGATATCTAGGCGTGGATTTTTTTTTCAAAAATATTTTTTTCAAAGGATATCTAGGCGTGGATTTTTTTCAAAATATTTTTTCCGAAGAATATCTTGGCGTGCATTTTTTTAAATATATTTTTTCCAAAGGATGTCTAGGCGTGGATTTTTTTCAAAGGATCTACAAACGTGGATTTTTTAAAAACATTTTTCCCACAGGAAATCAAGACGTAGATTTTTTAAAAACATTTTTTTCAACGGACATCTGGCAATGGATTTTTATATTTTTTCCAAAGGATATCTAGGCGTGGATTTTTTAAAATATTTTTCCAAAGGATATCTAGGCGTGGATTTTTTTAAAAATATTTTTCCAAAGGATATCTAGGCGTGGATTTTTTTAAAAACATTTTTCCCACAGGAAATCAAGACGTAGATTTTTTAAAAATATTTTTTTCGACGGACGACTGGACATGGATATTTATATTTTTTCCAAAGGACATCTAGACGTGGATTTTTTAAAAATATTTTTTCCAAAGGAGATACAGGCGTGGATTTTTAAGAACACTTTTTAAAAAGGACGTTTTTTTGGTTTGGAGTACTTTTTGGAGGTCGTTGAAAAGTCTTCTACAGGGTGAGATAGAAAAGCTGCAAGAAAGTCATACGCCATAATTTTGACATTTTTTTTTAAATTTTATTAAGTGAAAGCAAAAAAAAAAAGTCGGAAATAGCATCAAATTTTAGAATAAGTTTAGATTTGCTCGAAATGGTCACCTTTGGCACGAATTATGGCCTTAAAACGTCCAATGAAACCGTCACACGCTGCCCGAATGTTGTTCTGAGGTATTTTGGCCCATTCCCGGCGAAGAGCTTGCTTGAGATGATCGACACTTTGGTATTTTTTAGTGCCAACCTTGTCTTCCAAAATACTCCAGACACAATAGTCCAACGGATTGGTATCCGGAGATTTTGGTGGCCATTGTTCGCTGGAAATGAAGCGAGGAACCTCATTTTGTAACTATTCTTGGGTGGCGTGTGCTGAGTGCGATGGTGCTGAATCCTTTTGGAATGTCCAAAGTCTGCGGCCAAAATGTTTGCTTGCCCAAGGCTTTAATACACCCTCCAGAATATTTCCGCTATAATATTCGGCAATTATTCTGATGCCACGGTCGATTAATACGTGCGGAAAGCTGTTATGGCGGCCCACACCATCACCATGACCGGCGCTTGAGTTCCGGTGGCCAACCGAAGGTGCATATTTTCAGCTGACCTCTTTGGCAAGTAAACACGATCATTTAGTTTGTTTACAAACTGCCGGACAACGAATGTTTTATCATCGGAGAAAACCAAATTCGGCAGTTCATCACTTTCGGCAAAGCGAAGCAACGCTTTAGCTCTTTTGAGTGTACATTTTTTTTCCGCTGCGATGTAAGTTCTTGCACTTTTTGGAATTTCAATGGCTTTATCCCGAGCTCATTTTTCAATATTTGCCGAATGAAATATTGCGATATGTTCAGGTCACGAGCAATTTTTCGGCCACTGCGACGCGGGTTTCGATCAAATCGCTTCTTTACTTTTCGAACCATTTCTGAGTGGCTTAGAAATGACAGCCGTTTGAAGTTGGTTGCAGTTTATTCATCTCACCCTGTATATATTCTTAATTAGGGTAAAAATTTAAAATAAAATCGATTTTCTTTAAAAATGTAGGATTTTTTTTAAATTAAATTTTTTTTTAAAAATTGAGATTTTATTAAAAATTAATAAATATTTCTGTCCGTATGTTGCAATCACGCTATCGCAAAATTCTAAGTCGATTTTACGATGTAAAAATTAAAAAAAAAAACTCGAAAAATATTCAAAAATCTAGGTTTTTTTTAAATTGATTTTTTTAAATTTGATAGTTTTTTAAAAATTTGAGATTTTATAAAAGATTAATAAATATTTATGCAATTAAGCTATCGTAAAAATTAAAAAAATGAACATTTTTAAAAGAATTTAGAATTTTTTTAAATTAAATTTTTTTTCGAAAAAAATTGGGATTTTTTTAAAAATTAATATCTTTGGAACGAATAAAGGCTAAAATTTTGCACTCATGTGTATTTTGCCAGCAGGCAGGTTAAGTTCGTAAATGGGTCATGTCGGTCCACGTTCTCGTATATCCGCCATATATCGATACCTCCGATATTCGGTATTTCGTTGATTATGGCGACATTATAGACCGGAAATGTTTCAAATTTCGTATTTGAAGTTGGAAAGCGGTACTACAACCTATGAGAAAAAATTACTTATGCCGATCCACGCCTTCGTATAGCCCACATATACCGATACCTCCTGATATTCGGTACTTTTAAGGTATTAGCGACATTATATGCCGGAATTGTTTCAAATTTCGTAATCAGTCCTACAGCCTAAGGCAGAAAATTGTCTATGCACTTCCATGACTTCGTGTAGCCCACATATAACGGTACCTCTCTTTATTCTATATTTTGATGATTTTAGCGATATTATTTACCAGAATTATTCCAAATTTCGTATTTGAAGTTCGGAAGCGGTACTATAGCCTATGAAAAAAATTACTTATGAAGGTCCTTGTCTTCGTATATCTTCATATAACGGTTTTTATTTAGGCGGTAATTTTCGACGGATTTTTTTTTCGAAAACGTTCAACTTCCATTCAAATGGTGGTTGGTATTAGAACTTCGAACCGGACGAACTTAACTATTTTTTACAGGTTATTTATAATTTTGTGAATCATATTTATATGGTTTATGCTAAAGGTGCAGATAAAGTTGCAGGTCCTTACATTAAAAAATTGAACATTTGGCTGGGCAACATCACTGAACACAAGAAAAAAATGTTCTAAGATTGGGCGGTGCCTACAATTTGACAAAATTCAGATCGCCTAAACTATAAAACATATCCGAAAAACCGATGATGGCCAAATATTTTTGAAAACAAAGAAGAAAGGTCTGGGAGAAGTTTGACACATTCTTTAAAGACAAAATATCAAACCTCAACAACACCACAAATTCTTTTGGTATAAAAAGTTCGGCCCGGCTGTACTTAGCTGCTTTTTTACTTGTTATTGATTACACACCGTTCTAAAACCCCTTTGATATCATCAATTAGACTAACTCTTACTCTTTATTGTCCATCCAAAACATTGAGTGTCCTTTGTGCAATCATTTTAATATCAAAATAGAGTATCTATAGGTTTCCGTTTTACTGGCGTAAAAATTATCGATTCAAATAAAAAAAAAACAATAAGGCAAAATTTTTGAGGTAGATCCAAATGAAAGGTGAAACAACTTATAAAACCAAAAAAAAAAATTAAATGAATTAAAAAAATTTTTGAAGAAAGAAAACAAATTTGTTGGGGAAACACCAAAAGAATTTACCAACAATTTTGAGATAAAGCAAACATTCAATGTCTAAAAACTATTCCCATTTTCAGGGCTTGTTGAGATTATGA